CTTCTGTAATCTTGCCCTCTCTTCTGTAATCCCAAGGTCTGTGAGGCCTTCCATCACCCTATTCCTCCTCAGTGGCTCTCACATTAGTGGTAATTAAGAAACTGCAACCCTTAATTTGGCATGTGGGAATAATGCTGCTCCATGGAAAGCAAAACCTACTTTGTCAGTGAGCTTCAGTGAAAAATGGGACGGTCCCCATGAATCTATGGGAAACTGCATTTGCCTTCCCAAGTCATTTTTACTCAGGGGAACAGATGGAGTAAAGAACAGGTCCTCGCTTTTTAAACACAGTACAATCCTGTTTGATGCTTGGCTCTACGAGATGCGCTGGAATGGATGAGAGGAGCTCCCCCATTCATTGAGAAGGGGCTTGCACAGGAGTAAATATAAGCTTTGGCCACAGCAGCAAAATTGTTAATGTGCCAGGGTTATTTTTTTTTAACAGGAAAATCCTGTTAGCATATTTAATGATTTACGGGGATTCATTATAGAATTCCTGTTCTGTATTTGACTCCGAAGAACAGATATGGATAAAAGGAAACAACTCAGCTGTCTGGGAATGCAACGCATAGGCTCTGCTGGGTTAATCCAGTTGGGGAAAAGTGCTGACCTTGTTAGAGGTTAATGGAAATCAAAACTGTTAAAATGGTCTCACAGCATAAAATGTCTTTGAGGCTGTGTTGTTGTTGTTTTTTTTAATGATAGGGATGTATGTCTGACAGGAAAATAAAATTTTCATCAGTTAGGAAAAAAGCAAAATACTCCACAGTGGAGCAGTTGTCATTTGCAAAACTGCTAAAGGAATGCTGTGCTGACAGGTTGAGCCCAATCTGTGTGAAGCTGACACACTGCTCTCCTTCAAACCAAAACTAATATGTGATTTCATGGCAGACTGCTGAGTTCTCCAGCAGTTCGGTAATTCGCCCTAGCCTGTTGCAACAAGAGAGAGAATGCTGTGCAGGCCATGTTTAGCTGGAAGAATAGCCAGCTTTTTCTTTCAGCTCTGCATTCTCTGCCTTATCATCTGTTGGGAGGTGTTTGTCATCTCTGGAAAAATATAAATATGCATTTTTCCCAGCCACAAGTGAGAGGAGACCAAAAACAAAAAAAACAAAGACAAAAAACAAAAAAACCCATTTGTTCAACTGCCATCTTGTGAGCAGATGATGCAAATTTCACTCTTCTGTAAGTACGCAGCCAAACTCTTGTTACGTCAATGGGACCACAAGGAGAATTAGTGCAGCTAGAATGGATATTGGCCTGGTAGAGAGCGCTGGTGATCTGTCAGCTTCCACCTATCGGCCTGTTTGTCTATAACAACTATAATGTCCACATATATATTCCATGGATCCAAATCCATGTTTCTCAACCTTGGCAACTTGAAGACATATGGACTTCAACTCCAGAATTGCCCAGCCAGCCATGCTGGCTGAGGAATTCTGCAATTGAAGTCCACACGTCTTCAAGTTGCCAAGATTGAGAAACACTGATACAGAATGATACAAGATGCCTCCTACAACCCCCAGGTCTAAGGTAATGGGTCTCTCAATATCGCTTGACTCAATGTTTTAGTAATTAGAGAAGGGTTAAAACATTGTTAGAAGATCTTCCATTAACTGAGGATCTGGTGGTTTAATTAACTATAGTACAAATGGGTATTGGAAGGTTCTGAATTAGCATTCATACAAGGTTCCCATGATCAAGCACTCTGTGCCTGCCTGGACACTGTTGTTACAGCTCTTAAAGTGAGGAAAAGGTCTGCGGGTCAAGGGGGTTACTTCCCTTCTCACAACAAAAGCCAACGAAATCAACATAGCATTGCCTAGGCAGAATCCAGGTCTGTTGGACCACAGATAGCATACACAAGCATAATGAACCAAAAAGAAATCAATTGGTGTGGCTATGTATATAAAATAGCCTCCCCCACCATCTCAAAAAGTCATTAAATTATTAAATGTACTAAGAGTATAAACATATTATTTTATATGTTACACAGTATCCTTAGGTATGATGCAATTTTGCAGCAAGATTTAGTGACAGAGAACTTGGCTTTCATTAAGCAGGGAACAAATCATCCCTATTTCTTATATATCTACCAAACAAGTAGAAATCAATTACAGCATTGCTTTGCTGTCTGCTCAAGCATTTAGCTCTGTCCAATGATGGGTCACAAGGACCTTCCTCCCTTTTTATCTTGGTGTAGTTTTCATTTGGGGAGTCTTGGTCATGCTACCCATAGATATTTCCCTTGGTGCCCACCAGCCATGCTTCTTGTCTCTCTTGATTTAATTAGAGTATTTTTTAATTAAAAAGTTACCTGGGAGGGCAAATATACTGCCAAATAATGATGATGATGACGATGCAATTTTTTTTGCAATTGACTGATGGTGATCAGAGTTGATAAAATCACCATCAGTCAGTTGCAAAAGGCAGCTTTACTTGGAACAGCTTATATCCTGGAATGATACCTTTAACATCATCAAATAACAACACCTGCCTATCCCAGGTCCTTGGGAAGGACCCAATAGGTGGATAAAAATGCCAAATCGAGTCTAAACATCTGGCTGACTGTGTGACCAACCTTAATAATAATTTATTAAATTTATATGCTGCCCACTCCCACCTACTCTGGGTGGTGCATTGGCCTCCATCTTTGTTACCAAGAATACTTTGGCCCTCACACAGGCCTGGTAGCCATTTTTAGAAATAAATATTGTGAAGAGCTGCTGTCACACTAAACCGCATGGAATAAAGAACTGGGGAGTTGGGCGTGAGAGGGACATGTTCTGGAATCAGAAGGAAGTGATGAAGCTCTGTATGCAGTTTGCTCGTTAGTGTGCATGTGGTGTGAGTTAACTGGTTGATTGGTTGGCTTGGATAATGTCATGTAAGTTTGTATGGTATGGTTTTCTTTAGTGTGTGTTTGTATCTGTTGCCTATGTATATGTTTCTGAGCATTAATAGTTTACCTGATATGAAATGTAAATTCTGTATTTCAAGGAAACACATAACATGATGGGGTTCAAACTCTAGTTTTGCCTTGTATTACTTTTCTTTGGGAATGACTTGTTTCCAACTTCCCCAGTTTGCCTTTCAGATAACACTCCACTGCACTGAGCTTCATGCCAGATGACTATAAGAACACATCCAAGGAGTTTACTTTGGCAAGACCCCGTGGAAGGGGACTGCCATCACCATGTTTTAGAGTACTTTTTGTCTTCAAATGTCATCCAGCCTACAGTCCTGGGACTTTCTATCAGCCTACCATTCAAGTATTAGCCCAGTCCAACCCTTTTAAGTATCACTCAAGTTTGGAGAATAATTGTTAGTCACGTGGCTATATGCGCCAACACACCCATTTTGACTCTCTCATAATGTTTATCTCGAGAGATAACCCATCTTACTCTCCCAAAATGCTGACCTGGCTTCTTTTTAATTTTTAAAATTTCTATCCCACGCATCTTCCCAGGAGTTCAAATCATTGATGCATGCACTGCAGGAGGAAAGCCGTGTTAGCCCCCAATGGCCAAAAAGCAGGAGGAGTCTGGAGTACCTTTTCCAACTAACAAATTTGTAAGCCCCGGTTCATTTAGTCAGGTGCCTTGGATGCTTTTTAATAAAAGGTGTTAGTCAGAAAAGGTGCTGCCAGGTTCCTTCTGATCTTTGGCCAATCATTGATGTATGTGATTCTTTACTGCGCATCCAATAGTCTTCGTGATGGAGTGCAGATTTGAACTTGGTCCTCTCCAGTTTTAATACTAATTCTAAGCAGTGCATCACATTAATTTTAATTCCTAATTAATTCTTAATTTTTTAAATTCTTAATTATTTTAAATTTTTAATTAACTTAATTTGATTACCTTAATTTTTTATTAATTCTAAGCAGTGCGTCGCATTGTCTTCTCCTGTCTTCTAGGGCCCCTTCCACATGGCCACCTGCTTCAGTCTTCCCAATGGGCTGCTGAGTGGCACCCAGCCATGCCCTCTCCTTCCCCTCTCTGAGACCCCCAGTGCTCCTCTCCAACCAGTGGATGGAGGAATGCCAAAACCAGGAGAGAGCAGCATCTGCCCCATCCTCACTGCAGGTGCATTTCTCTGGGTCAGGCATCCAAACCAGCCATTTTTGGAAGGAGGAAGCTCAGAGGCAGGATGGGTAGGAAGCTGCCCCACTCAGCAGCTCTAGAGGAGGTACTACAAAAATTGCACTGCAGTGTTTGCAGAGGTTAGCAGGAACCCCCGGTACCATGAGAATGCACAAAGGCAGAACTGATCTCAAGTCAGCATGTTCCCTCCATGCAAGGAGCTGATGGAATAGCAAGATGTCATGGAGCACTGGGGAGTTGGGAGTAAGGGGATGAATCTATCCCAGAGCCCATTCTTGAGACCCTCCTGTGCCAGTCCAAGACTTGGCACAAAGAGCCGCATTATCCTCCTGAGGACCATGGGTCAGTTTAATTGAAATCAATACCTCTGTTACAAAGTGAACACACACACTGTGTAAACTGGTCTAATTTTCAATGGGAAAAGACTGTCAGAATTCCTCAGTCCAGGGTTGAGCATTAAGGCCCTGAGATGAGCATATAATTTGCAGTTTCAATCAGATATGTTAGGAAAGTAAAAAATAACAATAGCAAAAGTAAAGTGGCAGCACCCAGCTGACTTTGGCTGATCTCAAACAAAGCAAAGGAGGTTCAGATCTGGCTAGTACTTGGATGGGAGACCATTAGGACATCCCAGGGCTGTAGGGCTACATTGTAAAGTCGAGAAACTATCCCTGAAAAGGCTAGCCATTTATGGAAAAGCAAACAACATGGATGTGTCCATGTGGTTATCGGAGATCCAGCTCAATTTTTACTTATTTATTTATGAAATTTATATACTGTCACATCTTGAGTTTTAAAGAGACTTTGCTTTATTTGAAGGTGTGGGTATATTTATGGCTATGTGAGTGCATGTACATGTGTATATATTTTATGAATGTGCCTGCGCATCCATGCATGCATGTTACATGTATATATATGGGTACAAGTTGTGCTTCTATTTTAGAATACGTGAACATGTTCTTAACTTTCTTAATATTGATTTTCATTTGATTTGCATGCCCCTGCCTGAGAGAGCATTGACTCTATTTTAAGAAGCTGGAAAGGTGTTAGGCTTGCCTATCCCTCTTTGAAGACACTGGGCAGACACATGTGAACCCTGCTTACACACTCCACAGGTTTCAGCAGGCTGCAAGCCCATCTCCATTCCACACAGCCACAAAATATGGTGCACATTGCACTGAGCAGATAAAGCAAAGTTGATTCTTTCGGGTTATGTTTATAACCCAAAGGTATGTTAAACAGAAGCTTGGAAAAACATACACATTCAGAAACAGAGACGCCAAAGGGAAATGGCCTGCACATTAAAGAGAACAAATGACTTACAAAACAGTTCATCCCAGGGTATCCTGGGGGGAGGGTGGGGAGGGGGGGGGTCAAAGAAATCAAGATGGCGGTCGTAACTGCATAATCAAAGCCCTGAATGTTAAAAAAGGCAATCATGTGGTTGTAGCCACCATCCTCACTTTTTTGACACTCCCTCCCCCTGCCCTGAAGCTCCTGGTTCATCCCATTGGTTACAAACAGAAAATAGAC